ATCTGTAGTACGTTGAATAAACAGTGACATCTAGAGGCCATTTAGGTCAGTTCGAATTTTCTGTTTTTGCTGTAAACTAAATGAGACATCGTTTTTATTTATTTTATTTATACGTTTTTACCCCGCCAAAAATAGAAAGGTGTACATATACTATATATACATATATATAAGGTGTACTTAGGAAATGTCAAATTGTCTAACAAAGTATCCATCGGTGCAATAGAGACATGTTTATCTATATAGCTGAGTGATAGTAAAGATATAGAAATTGAAACAGAGATATAGAGAAAATTACTCGAAAGGCAACTAATTGTGCAAAGATTATTAACCAAAATTAGATGACAATAACATAATGCAGCCTATTTGATCACAGTCATCAGTTGTTTTCCCATGTGTGTCAATGTGTAGTGAGGATAAATCGATCGTCTGTGGTAGCTGTATCTCTCATGAAAGAGAGAGCTGGCCTGCATTTTGGATCTGGACCGCTCTTATGGGTGGGATCAGTCTAATATGCAAATTGCCCTGGTTCTTTTTGTAAAGATCACTGGAATAGCATTAGATTTCTCAGTCTGCTTGAACGAGTGCCTTGGCGGTGTCCAAAAAGTAAACTAACAGTAAACGTTTGTACTACCATAAAAAAGTGTGAGGCACCATAAAACAATAGAGCAGTGGGTGTGAATGGGATTTAGGTAGAGGAGATGGAACATATAATAGGGTGCATTTTCTCCCCAAACTGCCTAATGTCAGGGCATTGCCACCAAAAATAGGCTGTGGAGCCTTTACCTGTATTGCACTGCCAGCATGAACAGGGTATCTGGGTGGTAATTTGCTGGAGAGTTTGGGAGTGTTAAGTGCCACCGACTGATCAGTTTGTAATTCACTAATTGTATGTGAGCATCTATGGAAGGTGCTCCTATGAAGGTATTTTCCCCCATTCCCCTTGTGTTAGTTGTATGTCTAATTCCCTGGACCAAAACCAAGTAAATGTAGGTAGTTTCTGCATAGTTATTGCTTGGATCATATCATAAAACACTGATACATTGTAGGCCACCTTGTTTTGAAAATATGCACAAAAATTTTGTTGTTTCAAAAAAAAAAGTTATTTCTAAAGAAAATGTGTAGTTTGGAAGTATTGGTACCTGGTTTGTATAGTCAGAGCTTCGTATATAAATAGTTGAGGGAGGGAAGTGACAGAGGAACCTGAGATGACATTCTTGAAGAGAGAGAGCCCTTTTATTCCTGGAAGAAACAATGGGTTATGTGTAGAGTTGAGTGGACACCTGGATGTTCGGGTTCGGGCTCGAACTTGACCCCGAACCCCATTGAAGTCAATGGGGACCCAAACTTTTGGGCACAAAAATGGCTCTAAAAAAGTTCTGGAAAGGGCTAGAGGGCTGCAAAAGGAAGTAAAATGGGGGTAAGAGTAGGACAAGTGCCCTGCAAACAAACGTGAATCGGGAAATCACTTAAAAATAACATAAAATAAGCAGCCGCTTAGTAGATAACTCCCTAATTCCCACGGTATCAGGGAGCTATCTACCAAAAGGCTGAAAGACCTAAATTGGTCACCTAAATTGGTCTTTCAGCCATATTTACTAATGCTAAGTAAAGATTACTTAGTATTAATAAATTCAGCCCCTACTCGCTATACCGCAAGTAGGGGCGTGTCTAGTAAACAGTGAGAAGCCTGTGCCCCCCCCCCCTTATTTGTATTTAGGGCCCCCTCCCGCCGCTCAGGGGTGGTGGCCTGGGGGGGCAATAGTTCCCTCCTTTAGTTTAAAGGCCCCCACTCGCGCATCGCGGGTGGGGGCTCAGGAGGGGGGGGATTTATTTTTTAATAGACATGCTCCTACTAGCTGGGTCACATGCTGCACTGGCCAATCACAGCCATGCCATTTGTAGGCATGGCTGTGATGGCTTCTAAGGGCACACAAGTCAACGCTTGTTGATTGGCTGCCCTGCAACCTTTCAAAACACGTCATTAAATCGCCGAACACCAAACTCCAACCCAAACATAAAGTGATATGTCCGTGTTCGGGTCCGGGGTCCCAAAAAGTTTATGTTCGGTACAAACCCGAACTTTTTAGTTCGGGTTCGCTCAACTCTAGTTATGTGATCTGTTAAGAGGCATACTGTTTAGATATGCCCATAAGACCCCTGTATTGTATAAAAGTTGGAATGTTGGGGCTATGATGGGGTGCTCTGTAGGGCAAATAAAGGTTAATAGTGCACTTTTCCAGGATAAAGTTGGGACCTTTGTTTGTGATTGTTTGTTAAACTTCCACAGTTTAACCACATTAGTCCTTACCCAGCTGTATATTCTGATGAGAAAAATGGTCAGATAATAATGATAAAAGTTTGGAAGTGTAACCTCTTCTCTACACTTGGGATGAATTCAGGTAATATGGTTGATTTATGTTTTTTTGTTTGCCCAAATGATGGCTTTCATCTATAGATTTTGTTCTATATCCATAAACTTTAATAGTAGATAAAAGATCTAGAGCTTAGGAAAAAAAAAGTAAGTAATTCATGAAAGTGGAGACTTTGTAGTATGTTTGCTCAGCAGGTATCCCGTGTATGTTAGGGTTGCTCTGAACTGCTTGGAGGAAGTGTTCCAAACTTAGGACAAACAGGAGGGGTAAGAGTGGACAGCCCTTCCTGGTGCTAATAGTGAAAGGATCGGAGTAATGTCTGTTGATCACCCTCAGTGCTAGATTTCATCACAAAATCAAGCAGAGGGAACTGTAAGGTTATTATAGCATATTCACTAAAGTGTGAAATGTTAGACATTCAAATGGCATTTCAATATAAAAATTGTATCGTTGTGTGTCATAGTGTATACAGAAACAAATAATTTTGCATTTCTATTTGGCAATGGTATATAAGTTCCTTAAGGACCAATGATTGCCTCTGTTCTCCTAACATTGTGGTCTTTAAAGATGTAATTCCAATAAGGAATGTGCCATCCATGCGGTGTAACGCTACTGCTGGCAAAAATATTCCATTCATCCTGAAATAAGGTCAAAGTACCAGATTATGATTATAGAAATGGATATTATTGAAATTTAAAGATTTACTAAAGTTAATATGCATAAATATACCTTTCCATATGCTAATTAGAAATACAAAAAAAAAAAAAAAAAAGTCCATAACATTTGGTGTCACATTGGCACTAGAGGGGCACACCAAACACCCACATGTAAAGTGGAATGTAATGTATAGGTTATTCTGTGTTTTTCTTTTTTATCCATTCATTTTGCTTCCCAATCCAACCTTTATAACTCTTCCTTCCACACTACGGTGTCTCAATTTTTTGCTCTAAATATACAGCAGTACATAATATTACTTTACTATTTTGCATTTTCTAGGACTTCTTGCAAGGGAGGCAAGAAGCATTGCAACGTAGGTGTCGCATCAAACACTTCTGTAGTGGATAATACTTTCACTTTGGCATAAAATAATAGGAATTGTTTTGGCCAACTACATTTGCCATTCGATAGTTTGTTTCACCATCATTACTACACAGAACATTTCCTTTTAAGGGAACAGTGCTGACACATCTTTGGTCATCAATGGATTGAGCAGCACTTTCCTTAAAGGGTTACTCCAATCACCACGACCACACGTCAGTGATTTGAAGTGGTCGTGGTAGAAGGAGTCTGAATGTGTACTGTTTCTGCGTTATTTTTACTTGTGTACCGGCACACATGATTTCGGCAGCCTGGAATTGTAGAATAGTGTTAGACTTGCAGTGATGGCTAACCTTGACATCATAAATAGTTTCTGGACTACATTTCCCATTATGCTCAGCTAGCTTTTAAAGTGTTTAGTCATTACTGGTTAGAGAAATCCTTTAAGCCTCTGTGACAGAGCAAGCATGGTATCCTAATTCTCTTACAAAGATACCATACCTCATAATATTGGTTGTCATGAAAGAAGAATTGGAGAGATGGTATGCCAAACCAATTGCTGTCACTGATGACCCATGAAACCAAAAAAAAAAAAAGGATCTTTGTCCCACCAACCACTGCTGTCCCTATGCAGTGTGTTCAATGCCCTTATATGGTAAATAAAAGCCCTGGAACTGCCCTACAGAAGCAATTTACATGGAACGTTCTCAGAAACAGGATACTGGAGAGAGAGGGGGTGGGGGGGAAAGGTAGACAGGTATGACAAAACCAGGGCTTGATATGGATAAGCAATGATATATCTGCCACTCTTCGTGTGACTTGTGTTCACACTTTACTTTCTTGCTTTATCATATTGATCCTTGAAATGAGTACACCATGATTCGTGGTGATGCAGGGTGGAATATCATCCTCTGCCAGCCACAAATCCATCTTTTACTTTGATTTTTATGGTACTGGAAGAATGTACTGACTCGCCATCAGCCTCTGCTATCAATAATCTACCAATTGAAAATGCAGAACTTTAGGGATGCCAAAGTTTGTTTTTTTGGCCTAAAGTAAAGGTGAAACCTTTACACACACCTAGACACCATTCTTACTTGGATCCTTCAGAAAAACTCATGCCTTCTGCTTTCCAGGACTCATGGCTAAGCTGCTGGTGTGAAGGATGGATCCTGTTATACACGATGATCACAGACCAATGTATTTACTTCTGGGACTTTCATGAACTGTTGCAGTGACTACCTAATTGTACCGGTTCCTTCTATATCTCTTTAGTCTCATTTGAAAAGGACACCTGCATCACCTACATTTTCTTAAACTGTGGTGTAATAACTATCAGTATTCGTGTAGTTATGTGCACCCTCTGCTGTGTCTTCTGTGTAAAATGACCAGACATTACCTGTACCATGTAGAGAGTTCACATTATCTTTGTTCCTCAAAGATCTCTGATTCCTAGGAGGTACAATACCAAACGCTAAATATATAATGTCTATTAAGTTATAGAGAACTATTCACTCGTCACTAAAGTTATTCAATTTCTGTATTATACACTTCCCGTATTACTGCACAAATGCAAAGACTATATAGCCATAAATTAATATTGTTGTTCTGCTTTTAATGGTTTGTGGAATTATACATAAAACATTCTGTTACAATAGGAATGATTGTTTGATAAGAAGGTGCCTCTGTGATGGTCTGTTTCAACACTGATCATAAAAATTGAACAATTGTTAATTTTCTATTATTTCCTTCCAAAACACAAATTATGTACTTTTCGTAAATGTATTTGTATATTCAGATAAGTAAACTACAGCCACAGCATTCATTATACCTGCACACGCACCAATGAGATTTGTTCAAATATCCCAAATATACTATAGCCTTCGCTTTAACATTTAAAAGGCACAAGCCGGGCTCTACTCATCAACATAAAAGAGATTGATAAACCTGGCTGACCCAATAATGACTATTCTAATGGTGATGATGACTTTATATAACAAACTGCTCATGACACCCTGAGTAAAGGGGTTAGAAGATAAAGGAACACTCCAATCACCATAACCACTACGGAGGAGTATATGGTGACAAGTGTGCTGGAAACCACCCAATTTACCAATTTGTTAACAGTTTGACTCCTTAGCTAGGGTCCATCGCTAATGGCTTCTTGGACATCTGTAAGCTCTCTGCTCTGAGCTATGCTCGGTGTTGCTCAACAAGCAGTTTGACTGCCTATATGGGGTGGAAGGTGTACCATAACCACTACAGTGTGCTGTTGTGATTATGGTGCTTGGAGTGTTGCTTTTCCTGTATACATTTGTAAGCATTATTTTGATGTTTAAGTGGATTAATATGTGCTTAATTTAAATGGAATCTATAATAATGGATATATTTTATCTGGTTTTCTCAACAAATGATGCCATCCAGCTACGATGTCATAGACACATATAGAAGCAACGACAAGTAAAGCCAAGGAACAAAAATTGCATTTTGGTAATGCAGAGTGTACCATAGCATTACAATACAAGTTATACCATCACACTACCATCTTGTCTCAGCATTTTTATATTTTGTGGACTCCAGGAAAAAAAGTTTATTTTAGCCATGTTGCATGTCATGTTCTCAAGAGTACAGTGATATCTTCTACTCCTGTTGTAATTTTCCAATGTCTTCATCTTCCTAATTTAATTTGCACTTGTGTCTGGTCCATCACAGCCTTAAAGGGCAATCCACATCATAACAAGATAATCAATCAGTTGGTGAGGAGCATGTATAGAAGTTCTTAATAGCCAACTATTGAATCAGGTACGGAGGTCATAATTTTATTTAATAAAAAAAAAAAAACACAACACACAGTAGGCCTCTGCTGTGTTAAATTCAAAACTCCTGTTCCCTCCACTAAACAGTTTGTATCTACTTCATTAAAAGAAAAGAAAAAAAACAGAACAGAACTACCAATATATTTTACAACTTACAGCCCACATGGACATGTACTCAATAAGGAGTTTTTATTCATAATCAAAATCTGGTGGTAAACCGTTGATGTCTGCATAAAACCTGCAGACCTACATTTGGACATCCCACTGCATAACTGCAATATATATGGAGACAGCAACTAGCATTGTCTTTTAGTGTTAAACAGAAACGTTGGTACATTACAATAAGCACTTAACCAAGAAAAACAACAAATTGTCCCTTTCCCCGCCCCCCCTCCCAATGAGGGCATAACCAAAGTTATTTTACACTAAGGCCTGCAACAGCTAAACAAAGTTCCTATTATGAAACACAAGAGAAATCCGCTTTGGGACAGCCTCGAGCAACTTAAAGCGAATCAGGCAGAACTGAAAATATGAAGGATAAACGTTTTATAATAAAATAGGGAACGGCAGTAGACACTCCTATCCACAACAAAAACACGGAAAATTATGGCATGTTTTATAATAAATGTACATGGATTTGAGTGTCTTTCAAATCCATTAAAATTGGGTAATTTTCTCTTTTTTTCCTTATAATACAGAAAATGTGAACACCGCATTATATAACAACCAAAATCAATGCAGAATGAAAACAATCAATGGTGTATCTTCTTCTAAACACCCATAATAAGTAGACCAAACAAAAACTTTTTAGCAGAAATTTGTTTTTTTGGTGCTGCTCCCCTCCTCCACTATTGTTCAGTGAATGTAGGAAGTTGATGAGTAGGTCAGATGATCTCAGCCAATGAGCAAAGCCCCCTACACTGATGGTCTATTTCAATGAAGAGAGCACTTGGCTCTCACTGAGCTGTAGAGGAAGCAGTGAGTTGAGTCCGATGGAACTGAAGAATTCAAAATTCACTAAAACGGTTTAACCGCCGGTGAGATAGGGGTGGGTGCACCATAATCAATACACTGTTGTGGTTATGGTGTTCAGAGTGTTCATTTTAGCAATACTGGTAAGCGAAAAAAAATTACATTTGCTTCCTGTTTGTTTTATACTTCATTTATAATTGGTGCTGGAATCAAATGAAGCAGGTTAGTAGCTATACCCTACAAGCATAGGCATTTCAAATATAAATAAATTGCTGTTTTTCTAATTTTGGTAAAAAAAAAATAAAAAAAAAGTCTATTTTACACAGAGCAATTTTAAAATTGTATGCTTCACTTTATTTCTGTTGGGATATATATATATATATATATATATATATATATATATATATATATATATATATATATATATATATATATATATATATAAATAAAAAAAAATACATTTTGAGATGTTCAAAACTGCAGGCAGTCTGTATTGACAGCAGATGGAGGTCCCAATAGTTAATTCTCATCTGTGCACCTGTTCAATTACAATCACTTGTATTGTTACTGCCCCATGACTGGCTGAAAAAGGTGTAAAAAAACATTCTACAGCTTGAATTTGAGATGATCTCGTGTTGTTGGGTTTGTCACCTTTCTACTGACAGAGCAAATAATCGGGAATGTATGAATGAATAGTGGTGTTTGCCCTCACTGTCTTCAGCACACGCGCACTGAGGTTACTTAGGAATGCATAGAGAACTCCACAACATATCAGGTGCACAAGATATGCCGTTTAAGAATAATCACTGATTAAACCACTAGTGACTGTGGGACACTTTTGGCATAACTGGACAGTAAAACCACATTTCCATCTTCTTAATCCAATAAGGGGCAGAGTAGTGAATGTCTGCATACACGGCTGAATTTTCCTTAGTGTTCATACAAAACCAAATTACACTATATGAAATCATTACTGACACTTTAAAGTGGAACTGTCATTCTGGAGGTAATGGCACATTCTAATGGCTAACTAAATGCTAGCTTTTAGTTGTGTTTTTAGTTTTTCCAAAAATTTTAAAGCAAATATGAAGTTGATCTTCCAACAGCTTTGCATCAGTTCGAAACATCCCATGATTCTCTGGACATGGCTGTTCAGGGAAACATGTGCATCTCGTGAACTTAGTGACACTGAGCAAATTAACAAGCAGCGGAATTTGGCCTTTCTACCCTTCAATAGCAGTTACTAGAAAGGCAAAACCAAAATGGTGACAGTTCCTCTTTAATGTAATGTAGCTTTTTAGAATTCCTAGACTTTGCTCCTCCATCTCAAAACAATATATTAATGCGGAAAAATTCAAAGTGAGAGCAGGAAAAAAAGACTTACTTGTTCCATGGTAAATAGAATGTAAATATTGCATTGTTTATCAACTCTGCCATTTTTTGTGCAAAGAAGAAAAAAAAAAAAAAAAAAAGTAATTCTCATGTTTTGGCTCATTTTCAGAATATTGATACATAGATATAAAAACAAATAAATAGCGGATTACATGGTGACCTCTTTTCAAGCTTAAAGTATATTAAAAACGTCACATTAACCTTATACACACTTGTGTGGGACATCCAAATGAAAGAGCTTGGAAATGATGTTGTAGTGTTGAAAAACCTTAAAGACGACTTTTTTTTGCCAATTCTTTTGCCTGAATTCTTGAAAATGAGCCTGAGAAACATTGCTAGAAAGGCAGCCCCTTGTAAACATTTCCTCGTAAGGAACAGTGGCAAGTAGGTGTGTTTCCATTCAGCAAAGAACTATCAATGTAACACTTAAAAACAATTACAGCTTCCTCCTAGGCTTTCTTTTTATGGAAAAAGATTCCCAGTGACAGTCAGGTAATAGTTCTGGGTCCATTTTATGGGCTTGCAGCGACTAGGTTTTCTGCTCCGCGGTTGTAGCAGACTGCAGCGGAGCTTCAGGCTTCATAATCTGGTATGTAATGAGATATTCTGGATATGCCTAAAAAATACAAGATAACCGTCTTATTTACACATGCCGTTCATTCAAAATACACAAACATACAAACTTTTAAAGGGATACTACACTGCCCAAAAATGGGTCTGAAGTGTCCCTGTACAAAAAGTAACAAGACATGTAGACTAACATGGTCAGAAATAACCACACACACCCAGGAGTTCATGTATCTCTAAGTACATGGGAATTGTAAACATTAAAGTCAACTCCCAATAACCACCAGATGCACCAGAACCTTTAAATGCATCTAGTGGTTATTGGGAGTTGACTTTAATGTTTACAACTTCCGTGTACCTATGAACCAAAACACAGCAAGTGTCTTCTACAGGCTCCTGGGATTTGTGGCTCACAAATTGCTAGGTGTTTGGTATTTGATTACCCATATTATAGCCATTACAAGTAAATGGAGCAGCAAACAAATCAGTTTCAGGTAGTGTGATAATATACATTGCACAAAGCCTGTAAAACAAGGAGGGCACCTAATATATTGCAACAGACTGCGCTATCCATATTACAGATTAAGTATTAGAAGAGGCAAGATGATCAAGTGCGACATCCTTTGCTACGGCAAAGCTCAGCTCCAAGAATAGACACAGAACACTAAACATTGAAATGTAACAGATTTAGGATGGAACCCACGATTCTAAAAAGAAAAGACGTTGTGTATTAGGGTGTCACTGTCCATAACAAATGACTGATGTCGTCCTATTTATTGTACATACCTGCTCTCCTCTGTAGATGACATACTCTGCATAGGCTAGCCCATTCACACTAGGCCTGCCAATCACTGAGTGATGACCAGGGGGCGCATGGGCCATTTTCATTGTGCTGAACTGCAAGAAGGATTTGCCGAGTGTAACTCTGCAGAAGAGCATTTGTCTGATAAAAGGAAATAGAAACATTTTATTAAAAGCAAAAATAAACGCTTGAAGCGAAACACGCACGTGAGGAAATGCATTTCTATATGCTTTAGAATATCTACAGATGATTTTCCCTGACAAAGTAGAGAATAAACAAGGTCACATATAAATCACACACAGAGATCCACTCCACCCATCCTCCCCCAATAGCTGCATCTAACGCCATGGAGACAAGTGCAATAAATCTATAGCCTGACATTTAAAGCGTGCTTTGTCAGCATAATGAAAAAGCCAAGTGCAGATATTTGAATTGCCATTACCTGTGTTCAGAGAAGAGAACACTATTGTTTTACAGCTATTTCCCCAGTTCTACATCAATTTGTATTTTGTGGAGATATTATTTTAAATGTATCTAAGCAAAACAACTCTATTTGTTTCGTTCTAGACACTGTACTCTTTTTAATATAATATCCTTGACAGATTGTAATCATTTTGACAAATATTTCACAATCTACACTGCTGATATCTGTCCTATGAAATGCGCGCTTCAGACACCTAAGGAGTAAGACCATCCGATAGAGCGTCATGGAGTGTCCCTTTAAGTCTCAGTACGTCCTGTATTAACTGTCGCAATGTACAAATAGTCTGATAAGAAAAACTACTAAGTTTTAAGGCGTCCACAAACTTTACAGGAAACACATTACTAAATGGGCACCAATTAAATAAACGTACCTGTGGCAGATATAACATGATCTGTCTTTATGTGTTGGACAGCCAGTTCCTCCACCTATGCCATAAACATACTGATTGCTTTTAGAAGAGTTTTCAGCAAAGTAAATGCCAGCTCCGAACATGCCACCAATGTATGCATGCCGCTCATCAAAGCCCTTGTGAATAATTGCATTGATGAATGGAGATCCTGTTAAAATTAACAAATAAAACAAGGTGTAGCAAAATACAAATGAAGCATATACTGCAGGGGATTGTGACAAAGTTACACAAAAAAGTTCAGTTTGACCAGCACCCTTCTTTACTTCAATCTCTGGGACAAGGAGATAAGAATACTTACCAACAGGATGTTAAATACTTCTACAGCAGTTGGAGGACTACTTTTAGACAGACCCATAATTAAACTGTAAAAGCATGAAATATTGTCTAAGCCACCATACTAAATTGATCTTTAAATGTCCACTGTACGCACCACAAAAAGCTCATTGTCGTATGGGGCCAATGGCAGGAGACTTCTCCATTAGTGCGTTCAAATTAGTCAGCAACTAAGGCTGCGAGTTAGCCTAGCACCCTTTCCTATTAGCCTATTAAAGCTGTCCAAAGTTGGATAGGTTAATAAGGAGGTTCACTTGAGCAGTACAGAAGCCTGGGTGGTATGTACTTTGGGAGCTATGGAGTTGTCAAACTGATTCAAAGAAAAACCATTTAAAAGCATCATAAGCTCACTATAGGTGCTATAGGTGAAGTCCCTCTGGTATGGTCACATTCATTTCAAGTAGGGTGGGAAAAAAAATGGTGGCTTCTCCGATTCTTAAGTCCACCTGCTCTACTGTAGATACAAAGAGGGACCACCAGCGCCCACTCATATGCACATGCACCCACTTTTAATTAGCACCCTTTATTAATCACTAGTTGAACTTTTCACTTTGAACTTGATAAAGCCCTATTGTTAGGTTGAAATGTTGCTCATCTTGGAGTGGTTTTTCACCTGATTTGTGTTGGACATTTTTCTTTTTGGACTCTGCTCTACTGTAGAAATTACAACGAGGAAGCTCAATTTCTCATGATTGAGCAAAATATGTGTAAAGCTTGAGCTCCCTTGGTCAATTTAGTAATACCAAAAGGGTTAACAGTGATTAAACACACCCAAGTCCTCCTATAACCCCGAGCTCACTGCCGTCACTGCAATATGTGCATGCGCTCTTCCTTTATACGCTGGATGGTTATAGAAGAATGTAACTTATTTACATCAAACCGCTTTAAAACAGTTTGACAAGAAACTGAAGAACCTCATTAATAGCCTCCTAGCACTACATCCACTACAACAAGCTATAGTGCCTATTGTATTTGGAGCACCCCTTTAAAGTGCACATCAACAAAGTATTAATGACAGAAGTGCTCTACAGTTTTGCAAATGCTTAATGAGCAGGACATTCCGCGTGTGCATAGCATCTAAACAGCCTAGATTATGGTGAGGGCATAAAATGTCATATCTCATTAAGGGAGTAATGGACACTCGAGACAAGCTCAGAAACTGTTTGCATGATTATTGCAAACACAAGATCACAGTTCAGCCGCAAGTTTAGAAGTGTTACAAATAATAAAGTAAAATGATCAAAATAAACCAATATGGGAAATAGTACTCCGTACCGTGAAATAGCATTCGTTCATTGTGATGGTTGTGATTTTCTTCAGAGACTTCTTTCTGACGGTGACAGAATCTCTCCCTGAGTTTTTTGTTAACTACCTTTTGAATC